AATAACGGGGCATTCTATATACTTCCATTCCATAAATTATGAAACATTTACTAATTTTAAATATACGTTTATAAATCAATTAATAGTTAATCTTTATTTTTGAATTTATATGTTTTTTAACGTTATAATTTAAATATTTATTTTAATATCCTTTATGTAATTATGATAATTTGATTGTACAATTGTTTTTTTATCTAATTCTAAATTATATATTCTTATAAAAATTATATATTCTTATTTTAAAAAAATGAAAATATTTAGAGCATTAAAAATTATATTTTTGTTTAAATTAAAAAAATCTTTTTTAAATTTCTATAACAAACTAAAATTCTAAAACTATTTATTTATTATTCTATTTTATTATATATATATTTTTTATATTTCTTAATATAACGATATATATATTATTTGTTTAAACTATTTTTTTATTATTTTTATTGCTTGGTGCATCAAAGTTTTATATTCAGATTATTAAAATATAATTTTTTTACAATACAAATGATTATTATATCAATATATATTACAATTATTTCTCTATAATCTAAAAGATATTGAATGTTCAGTAATTTATAGACCAAAGTGATTAGTAGAAAAATAAAATTGAAATTAAATTCAGTAAAAAGAGAAAACAAAAAAAAAAGAGAAGCAATATCTTTTAAAATAGAATGCAATCCGGTATGGACATGAATTGATATTAAAAAAATTAGAGGCTATTTTGCGGTGATTGTAGAAACTAACGAGAAGCCTTCTTCGAGGATCTTGGCAGGGATCGCGTGATGGCCTACAGAAGCATCAAGTCCTTCTCTCTTTCTATCTTGTCATTCTTACTTTTCGACGTAGTATCTTCTGCATACCGTTCTGCTTTTTTTCCGCTCGCCAATTCGACCAATAGACCCTCAGAGAACCCGATCCATAATCCATGCACGCATAGGGACCTGTCTTCCCATCGAATCAATGGAAAAGAAACCTTCGTCTCTTTTCTAATGTACAACCATTACGGAACAAATCCTATGCTAAATTCTGCGAATTCTTTTCTTAATTTCACTCCTATACTATAATTTTATTCTCCGTTTCACTATTGGTGTTTATTTTTCGATATAGGCACATTTTTTTTAAATGATGACAAAGAACTATTTGAAAAATATATACTTTGATTTGCAAAGTGATAATTGTTATTTTGGCAAATTGTTATTTTGATTATCACGTCTACTTTTGTTATGTATCTAGAATTATATTTTATTTTCTCTTTAAGAAAAGAAATTATAGAAGATAAAAAGGTATTTTGTTGAAATATAGGTACTATTCATTTTCTGCAAAAATTAGCCATCTAAATTATTTTTTTATAAGAATTATTAGTTTAAAAATGCTTTCAATTATAATCAATAAAGATAATTAAAAAATAATTAAAAAATTATTAAGTGCTAATTGATTAATAATTGATTAATTTTTTTATTAATAATATGTAATTGAATAATTTTTCAATTATTTCAAAAATTTTAAAGATTAATCAATTCGAGAATTCTCAAGGATTTCAATTGAAAGTTTGGAATTTTTGAAATATTTAAAATATTTAATACGATCGAATGAATGGATGAAAAATTAATTTTTTTTGAGATTTTTATAAATAATTATAAGATAATCAATTAAAAGAAAAAAAAGGAAAGAAATGACACATATCATTTAAATTTTTTATTTTTAATATTAAAATTAAAGTTGAAATTAAAATAAAATTAAAATATTGGAATTATAAGTTATTTTATAATAAAAATTAATATATTTCATTTCATAAAATTTTTATTTCATTATGTTTTTAGAGAAGATATAGGAAAATATATAAAAATTTTACTAATAACTAATTATCATTCAAAAAACTAAAGTTAGATAAAATTCCCTATTTTCGAATAAGATTTTTAAAAAATATATATTAATAGAAGCGCATCATTTTATATTCAAATGATAAAAATTAGAATTGAATATTGCATGAAATAAAATATAAATAATTATATCTAATATAATATTATATTTTTAATATTTTTTTAATATTTTTTAATATACAATTATTTTTGGATATTTTTTAATATGTAATTATACCTACTATAATATTATATTTTTAATTATAATTTTAATTATATTATATATTATTATATTATATGTTATATATTATATATTATTTCTTAATATTATAATTATTAATAATTATTAATTATATAATATAAATAATAAATAATTATAATTATTATATAATATAATATAATATATTATATAATATAATTAAAATTATAATTATATATTATTATTATATATTATATATTATTTCTTAATATTATAATTATTAATAATTAATAATTAATAATTATTAATAATTATAAATGAGAATTTGCAATATTTTTTCTATAATTCTTTTTTTCTTTTAATTAAATATAGTAATCAAAAAAAGTTCTAAACATATATATTTGTATTATGATACTTATTATGATAATGAAAAAAATACTATGAGCAAATTTTTTTAAATTAAAAAAAAAATAGAAATACTTTTTGTGCCTCTATTTTATTTAACAAGAGTAGAAATATGAAATATTTTTATTTTTGATATATTGATTTTTCAAAATAACTATATTTTAAAAAATCAAACTATTATAATAAAAATTTAATTTTTAGAAAATTTCATAAATTTCAAGGATTTCGTAAATTTTTTATTTTATGTAAATTAAAACAAAATCGGAAAAGTAGGAATTCAAGGAATTAATAATCTGAAATATTGTAAGTTTTGAAACAGATAAGTTATAAAATTATGTTAAAATATTAATAAATAAATTTTAATGATATGCAATTATTAAATATATTTTATAATTTACTATAAACGTGCAAATTTCATTTTCTGCATTATCATAATGAATATATAATAAGTACGACAAACATTGAATTCATTTTAAATTTTAGATTTTTAAAATTTCTTTTTCTTTCTTCAAATTTATTTTTGATATCTGAACGAATAATTGAAATCTATTTCATTACTTATTAATAAATTTCAATTTATAATATATATAATATATATATTTTATTATATATATATATGCCATCAACTCGCCATCTTATTTCTTACATTATAATACAATCAAAAATACAATAGATATTTACAAGTCCTTATCGATATTTTATAATTATTAATATTATATTATTTTACTATTATTAAATAAATCTTAATGAATTATTATAATTAATTGTACAATTATTGTACAATAATTTAATTTTTTTGGTTTTTTGAAAATCAGAAATTAATTAATAATAAAACCGATTCAATAATCAAAAATAAATCAGAATTTATTGAAATATTTACATGCAAAATTTTATACTTTGGAAAACAAATATTTATTGAATAAAAAAATCAATGAATTATAACAGCTACAGAGAAAAATCGTTTTAACTTTTACTCAAATCTTTAAAATAGTTAAAGTAAATCTATTATGTATAGATTATAATTTTGATATTTTATATTTTTACTTTATTTTATATTTTTCTATTTTATATTTTCTATACTATAATAAATATTTATTTATGCAAAATTCTTTGAAAAAATTTACTACCTAACATATTAAAAGTATGGTAATATTTTATTATATGTAATATTATTTTAATAAATAATGCAATTATTTCATTGTTTAAATCTTAATGAATTTAATAGATACATATTCGATAAATCTTTAATCTTCTTTGTCATAATCTATAATTATTTATTTTAAAATTTTGATGTTTAAAGTAAAGTATACTATTAATTATAAATAGTATTTAGAATATAATATATAAAAAGACATATTTTATTAATTAAAGTTTAGCTTTTATATATTTAAAAGAATAATACTTCATATTCATGATAGATAAATATTATACATATAACATATTGTATACATATTTTGTTTTATTTTTTATCATTATAGGTAAAAAAAAAATAATAAAAAAATTTGGATATTATATGACTTTTTTTAATTTTCATTTTTTATTTATTTGATTTTTAAATCGAAAATTTAAATTAATATTTTTAAATTAATTTAAATTTTTTAAAATATTTTTAAATTAATAATAGTATGAATATATTATACGATCAAAAATATATAACATTTATTTTCTTATATATAATATTTGATTTTTATTTCGATATTCAAAAAAATAACTTGTCACATATGTACATATACTTCATGTTACCGTTTATGTTATCGTTATTTTTTCTATTATGGAAAAAATATAACTTTTAATATTCTTTAAATCTCCATTACATCACATAAATAAGTCATATATGCGTATACATTTATATTTTTTAAACTTTATTTTGTATATTTATTACGATTTTACCAATATATATGCAATGTCACCAGTTTATTTATATCAACTCGTTAAAAAGAAAAATTAAAAGTAAACTCTTGTTATAAAGAGAAATTAAAATTAAAAATAATTTTCTTTTTCAAGAAATAGGGAAAAGTGCAATTAAAGGACGTGTACGCAAAATGATCGAAACGAATCAATTTCTATACGGTTTATGCAATGGAGGAAAATGAAATTCGAATTGAGGTTAATTCTGATTCACATTGAAATTTCTTGCAATCCTCCAAAAATTTCTTCGGGCTGATCTTCCTCGAAGTAAACGTACAAGCAGAAGAGAAAAGAAAAGGCAGCGGACGAAAAGAAGAGAGAAGGGAATATCGTCTGCTGGTCCAGTGGTCGGTTGATTTCCGGTAGCGCGGCGTGGCTGCTGGATCCTCGATCCAGTGTGGCGGAACGCGAGTAGTGGGGTCGTTGCGAGTAGTGGCGCCCTCGGATTGGCCGAAGAGGAATTGGTCTTGGATGAGAGGATGCGAGCCGACGGTCAAAGGAGAAAGAGAGGGAGACTCGGGTGAGCGAAGGAAGAGCGGTGGTGGGGATGACTGCGAGCTAGAGAGAGACTCGGAACAGTTCGGATGCACACCGTGCAAGGACGGTGATTCAGTTAGCGGCGAGCCGCCGTCGGTGTAGGATTGTTGATTGTTGGTTTTTCGTTTCTCTTCGATCGCTTCGGTTTGAGCGGCGTGCCGCGCATCGTGCATCGTGTACCATCTTTTCGAGATATATATATATTTTGATTCACGTTCAAACGAAACTGTCGCGTGTAACACGCGCACGCGCCCCTATATTTCGTTACAATAGTATTAGCTTGCTTAGGAATGAAATTGACACGCACGTTCTGCCTGAAAATCGAATATACCTGAGTGAATCTCTCGATGAAATTTATCGAAGCTGGTTTCCTCGTTCGGGGAATCGTCTCGAACGTTTGAAAATATTTGAAATTGAATTAAAGAACCGAGCTTTGGAGAAGATTTCACGTTTTGTTTTCGCGATAACTTTCTGGGTATAATGCAAATAGAAAGATCGATCGAAGCAAGCGGCCTTGCGGTTGGCATCGATATTTTGAATGGTTAATCGATCGATCACGAAATGACGAACAGGCGAGAAGCGTAAGATCGAAAGTTGGAAACTAACTAGAAGATCAAATAGGATCGCAACCCTCGTCGTTCTTCCGTTATCGGAGAAGAACAGAGCGAGGAAATAATCGTCGAACGAAACAAGGACGGTTTGTGCGTAGGTGACACAGTAAGGGGCTGTGGGAGAGGGCGAACGGGAAGGGACGAAGCGAGACAAAGTGAGAGAAAGAGGGAGAAAGACGGAAAAGAAAGAAAAGGAGGAAAAAAGGAAGGAAGAAAACAGAGAAAATAAAATCGGCTCGCGCGCGAATAATACTACCATCAACAATGAAGAGTGGATCAACGGACGTGCGATTGCTTGTCGGAATCATTTGCGGAGTGATTCTATTCGATCATGGGAATGCACTGGCGGGCAGCGAGATCTATGCGAAAACGTTCCCCAGCCAACAACATCCATCAGATCCGTGCTATGACGAAGACAGGCCACGACGATGTATACCGAATTTCGTGAATGCGGCGTTCGGCGCGGCGATCGAGGCCTCCTCAACCTGTGGAAGCGGCGGTCCTACAAGGTATTGCGACGTGATCGAGCAACCAGGAGGTAGCACGGGTATAGGTCAGTGCCATATTTGCGACGATAGTACGCCGCGGCGTCGATTCCCCGCAAGTTACCTGACAGACGTGAGCAACCCCAACAACGTGACTTGTTGGCGGAGCGAGCCGCTCGTCACGTCGCAGAGTTTCTCCGCGCCGCCAGACAACGTGACCTTGACCCTCTCCCTAGGAAAAAAATACGAGTTGACTTACGTTAGCCTGCAATTCTGCCCGAAGGCAGCTAAGCCGGACTCGATCGCAATTTATAAATCGATGGACTATGGGAAGACTTGGCAACCTTTCCAATTCTATTCGTCCCAGTGCCGTCGTGTCTACGGGAGGCCGAATCGGGCGACCATCACCAAGGCGAACGAGCAAGAGGCGAGATGCACCGACAGTCATCGATACACCGGTGGCAACGGGCTCGCGCCCGTCGGCAGAATCGCGTTCAGCACTCTCGAGGGTCGGCCGTCGGCTTCCGATTTCGATAATTCCCCGGTGCTCCAGGATTGGGTTACCGCGACCGACGTCCGCGTCGTGTTCAATAGGCTTCACATGCCCCAACAACCGTCCCAAGAACAAGTGTTGCAGCTCGGTGGTGGAACCGGTGACGATCACGGCCTCGGCCTTGAGGAGTTGGCGAAACGCGAGAGAGAACGGGAGGAGAGGTTGAAGAACCAGAAGAGCTTGAGTCGAGGCTCGCTGGACTCTCTGGCGACTGCTTTGCCCTCGGTGCACCAGGTAATCGCTCCCCAAGAGATGCAATCGAATGACGCGGTGGAGGAGGGTGAAGGCGGAGGAGGCGGTTTCGCGGCTGTCACCGTTTCGACCACGACGAGCAGTACCCTTGCCAGCAATCTCGGGACGAGCACACTCGCCCATCACTACGCCGTTTCCGACTTCGCCGTCGGCGGCAGGTGCAAGTGCAACGGCCACGCGGCGAGGTGTATCCAAGGCAAGGACGGCGAGGTCGCCTGCGAGTGCAGGCATAACACCGCCGGCAGAGACTGCGAGAGATGTCGGCCATTCCACTTCGATCGACCCTGGGCACGAGCCACCGCCAGGGATGCCAACGAATGCAAAGGTTAGTCTTTTTTTCTTCCGATTCTTCTAACGCTGGTTTACGCCACCGATGGCCAGAGAACTAATTCGAGTTTCTCTGCTTCGAATCGAATTTCAACCTTCTTCGATTACTTGGAACTCGATGTTTTCTCTTTGCTTCCCCTCCCCGAACACGTCACACGCGTTTCTAGTTGATACTTGATTCTCGATTCTCGCGGTTTCCAACGCGTGAAGTGTGTTTTACGTTTAACGTGTGCCCACGCATGAGAAATAATTGGATTTAGATTTACACGTGTCAGGGGAACGGATGTTTCGACTATTGTGAATTGTTTTTTTACGATTTACGATCGTGATTCGTATAAAAAGTAGTTTAATCATCGTTCTGTCATTTCTATGCTGTGTATATTTAACGTAAATGGTCTAATTAATGTATATAATTGATATATTTTTATTTATTTAGAAATTAGAAAAGAAACGCGAAATAATTTAATTACTGTTTTCTTAAAATAAAATTTAGATTTCTATTTTTTTGTATAAAATTATATATTAATAATGTGATGATTTTTTTCGAAATATTGAAAATATTTGGTGTATATTGAAAATGTTATATTGAAAATGCCGCCGAGACAGTATAATTTATTTATTTTTCTTGTAAAAAAAATTCTTATTCTAAAAAAATGCTGTAATGTTGTAATTTTTCTTGTAAAATTCTATTGCATTACGATATAAAAAATATTATGTTTTTGTTATTTATATTAAATTTCTTTATTATGAATAATTAATAAAAAAATTAATATAGAAAAATGATCATCTTATTACATATTGCAAAAAAAAAGTTAAAATATATTTTTAAATTATTGAAAAATTTTCAAATCATTATTAAAATATTCATAAATAAGTTTATCATGTATGTGCAAAATAAATATGAAAATTTGATATATGGAACGTATTTCGAGATATTAATTCTAATAGCATTTAAATTATTTAATAGAAACAAATTAATTTTTTTGGTTAAAAATAATCCACAGTAGATCCAAACTTATTTAATATCAGTTATAAACTATTGCACGTGTTATCGTAATTATTAAAGTCAAAAATAATATAAATAAATAATAATAGTTATAAATAATAGTTTTCAAACAATCGAATTAATGAGGATTAAAATTATATCTTATTGCAATTGATGAAATTTATCTTCAATTTTTTTTAATCATTTTAATATTAAGTATTTTTTAATTTAAATTTGATTGAAAATATTTATTTTTCAGTATATCATTATTTTATTACATTATATATTTGTTCAAAAATATCTCTATAGATATATTATTTGTATATTTGCTTCAAATCTAGAATTAAATAACATTGAAAGATATGCAGAAGTCTTATCTCATTTGGTATCTTATATGATAAAAAAAGTATTTATTATTAATGTACTAATGATCTGATTATAAATGTATTTTGATTATGAATGTAATTTGAAATTATAAATCAAATAGAAATTATTATTATTAAATAAAATACTTTTTTATTAAATAAAATAGTGTATTTTAATTAAAAATTAAATTAATAGTTAAAAATTATATAATAAAATAATTTAATTTTAATTTACAATTTAATTTATCATTCACAATTATATGTAATTATAAATATAAATTCTGTCAAAAAGATTTTAGTCCTTAATTTTGTTGCAAATTTTGTATTTAATTATTTTGGATTTTGAGAAAGTCTAAATCTAATGTATTAGATAATATATTAGATAATGAAATTTCCTGAAATATTTCTCATGAATGAGAATAATACTATATTATAATAATTAATTTTTACATTATACAAAAGAAAGGAATTTTTATATATTTATTAAAATTTTTAGAATTTCGTAACGTTGCTAATCCTAATTAAAAGGAAAAATAATGATAAAAAAATATGAAATACTTTTTTCTTTCATAATTACAAAATATTTGTAATAGGTTTTTTAATATATTTCAAAAGATATAGTACAATTATAGATTGAAAACAAATAAAAAATTTAATATTAATGCAATCTTGGATTTTAATAAATTAAGATTTCTAAGCAAAAGTATTTGTTCAATTGATTTTTGAAAAATTAAATTAAAATTAAATTTAAAAACTTATACATATGTATTAAATATCTTTGACAGCAAATATATTTTATTGTATAAAATTTAGGATTAGAAATAGAAAATAAAATTTAGGATTATTTATTATAAATTTTTTTTTGTATAATAATAATGATTAAATATTATTGCTGCATTTGCATGTTACACAAAATTCAATTAAAGAAAAAAATTGAAAATTGATCAATAGAAATAATATTGTTTATTAATGACACAACATCAAGACTTATATACAAATTAAATATATTATTGAATCAAAATAATTTGAATATTTAATTTTATCGTTCTATTCACTAGACTATTTTCTAGACTTATACTATTGTCTAGCTATCATTTATTATAATTTATACAAAACTTATTTTATGAAAAAAATTGAATGACTTAAAAGATTTACAACAGCAATTTTGAATCATTATTGAAAAAGATAAATTTTTCCAAAAAAAAAAATGGACATTCAACTGTCCAATAAAAATGAAGAGATTATTGAAAATAATATATATATATATATATAGTTTATACAATACATACATATTATAGCTGTATTTCTTTTCTTATTTTTCGAATTCTTCACTGTATTCATTTTATTTTTACATTATTACAATATCATCATATAATAAAATAGTCAATACTTATTAAAAGTAAATTTTGAGTTGCTCTCCTAAAATTATGTATTAAATATCTTATGTAATTGACCATTTCTTATGATCAATTCTATTAAATTGTTGCAAATGAAATAGTTGTAAAATATAAAATATAAAATCAGTACAGATTAAACTTGGCTTGATATAAATTACTTGTGATAATTTTTTGACTCTAAAATGTGGATACGTTATTTTCAATTTAACTGAAAAAAAAAAAAAAAAATAGAATGTTAAATTCTAGTCTATGTATTAAAAATTCTAGTCTATGTAATTAAAAGGATAATGAGTTAGAATTAATGATGTGAAATGGAGAAACGTTTTAATTCGAGAAGAGTATTTTCTTGTTATCTTTTTTCATTTCTTTTAGAAAATTGCGCGTTTGCATATTATGCGTAATTTAAAAATGAATAAAAATTGATCCTAGAATGAGGATTTATCAGGATTTAATCATAAAATTATCATAAAGAATAATATTGATGTTATATTTATTAATGAAACGAATAAATTTTTCTTTTCTTGCGAAGCTTTGATCCGTGTTTCTCGTTCAGAACTAGAGATAAAAGTGAATATCACAAATATTGTTTTTTTTTGTCTATAATGTTTATTATTTGAAACGTTTGCTTCAACCGACATTTTTTTTCGATTTTAATGCATTTTTAATGCATCGTCAGCAAAAGAATTAGCATTGATTCTTCAGTTTATTATATTTTTTTCCAAAACCGAAAAGTTAATTTTAAACGATTTATTTAATAATTTTGAATTTTTAATATTTTTAACTTATTTTCAAACTTAAGTAATTCTCAACTTTCTTTTGATAACATTTTTAATTCTTTTAACAAAAAGAATTAAAACAAATTTTATCTTTTCTTCTTTCTAAGAATGTTAGCCGCAGTTTCATTTTTAACATTTGGTTTACAACACAACAATGAGTTTATGAAGCTATCAAACGCCGTATGTAGATCATAAAAATTACAATCAAGATGTAGGAGAAAAAAATAGAGTACAATGGATTGAACGTTATGTTTGTCGTGCTTGATATCATTGTTCTTACCGAAGAATGTAGAAAGTGAAGTTATTTTTATGCGCAAATAATTTTGACAATGATTAAAATAATAATTAAGATATAAAAAATAATATATCTTAGAATAATAAACAAATGATTTATTATTCTAAGATATATAATATTAAGAAATAAAGAAATAAATAGAATTATTATGAAGTAAGCCGAAAAATCGCATTTTTTTTTTTTTTTTACCTATATTTTTTCCACAAATCTTTGATTTATATTTATGAAAAAATGTTTCTAAAAAAAAAAAATTCAATATTTTTATTTAGCAAAACAAAAAAATGTAACATTATCACAAAACAAACCAAGTTTATTCTACTTCTCTTATCTTGAATTATTTGCACATGGTCTTTCGAATAAAAGAATATTTTTAACAAAATTATATGATATCAGAGGGAATTTTTTTAGAAAATACGAGAATTATTTGACAAATATAATTATTCTATAAAATATCAAGATACATTATATTTGTAATATGAATGTTATTTTTGCAACTATAAATAATAAATAAATAAAATTAAATAGAAAATATTAATTTTATATATTGTTGTCAAATATATTGTTGTAAAATTTTTTTCTTAAAAATTGCAAATAACATTCTACACATATAGCTAATGCAAAATCGTTTCAGAGAGTAATATATTATCTTCTATTTTGTTACGATATTTATGGCATGCTTTCTTTGTAAATATTTCTCGAACATACCGTAGAAAATATTTCGACGAGTTGCACATTGTCTCGAAAACTGTAAGTCGACTCGCATTACCTACAACCGAAAGGACATAGGGATGCCCATGTTTCAAACGTAAGGGGTGCCCATATTCCGACAAAGTGAACATTTTCATCTGTAGATACGTGTAGCATTACGAGTGCTTTCATCCTCGGTTGTATTTCATTCAAAATATTTTTCCGTGTCTCAACGTCACAAACTTGTGTGTTGAGGGATCCGATTTCTATTTAAGATAATATAGATATCATTGTTATTTATCCTTATACATGAATCTGAAAAGAGTTTTTAAGCTAAAGTTTTTAAATAAGAAAAAACAAAATAATTAAAGTTTCTTTGTTCTCGCCTGTTTAGATAAAAAATAAAAAATGAATAATGAATATGAGATGTGAAAGAATTTAGAAAAAAGTCGATCATAAATACATTTCACATTTATTTGGCAAAATAAATTAG